CTCTGGGGCACATTGTCAGGAGCTCAGCAGCCCACAGCCAGCTAGCTCCTCTCCACACATGGATGGTTGTGGGGCATGGCAGAGAGAGGGAGGGAGAGACAGGGTGAGATCGCTCCTGGCTGGATGTGCCTAGATGGGATTATGTGACAAGAAGAGATGTTTCTCCAGTGCACCAAGGCCATGCTTCTCTCCTCACCTTTTCCTGGTGGTTCTGCTTTTCTTCTGCCCCAGGGGTCGCTCCATGCACTCAATGGGGCCTGGAGATTCCCCTTTCCCTGGGGGTTTATTTGTGACTTGTGCATTAGTCTAACTTCTGGGAATGAACCGACTGAAAGAGCAGCAACTGGCTCCCTACACACCAGAGACTTTGTACGGGACTAAGTGGCCATTTGGTAAAGATGACTGTCCAGGGAACAGACCCCACAATAAGACTTCTGCTCCTCAACCGGATGTTGATTTGGCTCTTTCCAGTTTCTCCAGAGTCCTTCCATTGAGACGATACTGACAAAATCAGAGCTCCAGGCACAGCTCATGGAATGGACCCAAGACAAAAATCCCATCATACGTAGACTCAGTCTGCGAGGCCTTGGCAGGGTTGTGCTCCAGCCAGCAAAGGTGAGAGGCGTGGATTGCCCGGGGACCAAGGAAGCTGATGTCTATCGAATAGCTCAGAAATGAGAGCGAAATCCCCACACAAGCCTTGTTGTTTAACGCACGGCACTCAAATGTTGGAGGTGCTTTACTGAGCGAATCAAGGCATGACGTGGTCCCTGCTCCCGTGAGCTGACCCCTGATTGCAGATGTGATGCAATGGGGGAGGCGGGGTGAGCAAAGACAAAGGTTACAGTGAGCAGCTGGCACTGAGTGAGAGGAGAATGCCTTTCTACCCTGTTGGGGGGCTGTGCCAGTCGTGGTTTCTCATAGGTGGGAGTGGGATGGTCCAGCATGTGCTCCAGGCTGTCACCCAGGATAGTAATGAGCTGCCTTCTTCATTCCTGCAGGTGCATTTGTTACGGGCCCAGCTGCCAGCGATCATGGACACGTTCTGTGACAGGGATGGAGGGTGTGTCATGGAGGCCATGCATAAAGCTGGAGACATCATCTACCTCCTCGACGGGGAGGGGCTTGGCTCCCTCTCCCAGGACATTGCAGTCAGCCTTCGCCCCTTCATTGTTGAAGTAAGGCTGGGAACCACAGGATAAGTCCATTCCCCACCCCCCCCTCCGCCTGCCTCTGATGCCCTTGTCTCTCTCTCCCCATCCCCTTGCCTCACGCCCCTCAGCCCTGCCATGGAGCCTCCAAGGAGTGCCCCCGCCGTGGGTGGGGAATCTCCTACTCAGCCACTTCCCTGTCAGAGCTCTTCTCGGCAAACCTCAGCCTCAGGCCCCTGCTCCCAGCCCCTGCTGCAGCCTGGCCTGGGGGAGAGGGGGCCTGGCACTGGGCAGATGACCAGCTGTCTGGAGAACACCAGCCCCCAAAGAGGGGGAGATTCCCAGCAGGAAAGAGGTGGGTCGGGAATGGCCCGGCTCTCAGGGAACTGAAGAGCAAAAGAACTGCTGTGTTTTGTAGCAACACATCCCTGCAAGGCTCCACCAGCTGCTTCTCCCCTTCCCCAGACCAGTCTCCAGCAGCCTTCCCTCCCCCTCCCCTAATCTTCTAGGGTTCTAGGGTTCGTTGCTCTCCAGACAGAAATTGCGTCTGGGACACCATGGGGCTGCACTGCCCAGCACAGTGTCTCAGGCCCTGTTCTGCATAAGATGTCTATGGCACTGGCCTGGTGGCCTCACTGTTCCCGTGAGCCAAGTCAGTTAACACAGGGGGAACCAAAGCAGCGGGCGGATTATGACTCTGTCGCGTTACGCTCTGATACTGCCTGGCTTTAACTGGGCTTCCCCACTCCCTGTCTGTCATTGCCAGGAGAGGGGCAGTGTGCGCTCCGCTGCCATTTTACTGCTTGGCAACGTGGTGAGCAGGGTGAAAGACCCAGACAAACGCAGTGTGCAGCAGGAAATGATCAACTGCTTGCTCCCGCTGCTGCTGCATCTTGAAGACCAGGAGGAGAGTGTGACACTGGTAAGTGCCACGGTTGTTATTTCCTTAAGAGCAAAGAGCCATTATCCCCCACTCCATTAATGGCCAGAGCCCCTTCCCCAAGCAGAGTCTTCTCCTCCCTGCTTCACTCCATGTTGGAGCCTAGTGCCTCATCCATCCTCAGAGCACACAGCACAAGTTGGAAGAAAAGCCTTCTTCTGAGGAAGAGTCCTGACCCTCTACTGCAAAGACAGGCCTCAGGCCTTTGGGCTGCTGCATCCAAAGGTTCCCAACAAGAGACAGCAAAAGAAAAGGGAGCACAGATCTGTAAGTGCCCTTCGGTTCAGGGAGCTGATATCTGTGATACCCACAGCCTTCTGGAAAGTGGGTGCAGCTGCCCTGCCTGCTTCCCTGGACCTCCTGAGAGACCTTTTCCAGCAGGTCCTCGCTTCCCAACATTCACCAGACATTGCCTTCTTTCGTAGGGCCAACTGGGATGTGGAGGGAAGCCTAATCCGTGTGCCTCTTTGGTCCGACTCTTTGGGATCCCAAAGCTGACTCACGCTCTCATACAGTTTCTTTGCAGAGAAGGACTGAGTTGTGGAGATCTCTTATGATTCTTTCCAGGGCTGCCCATAGGCAGGCACTGGGCCTGGGACAATCCACCCCCCCTCCATCCATCCCCCCACTCCACCCCTTCCCCTAAGCCCCCACCCCAGCTCTTACTGCCCCTGTTCCGCCTCCGCCCCCTCCTCTCCCGAGCGACGCTGGAAGCCGGCGAGGTGGGGTATAGCTTAGCGGGGCTAGGAGTACTGCTGCTGGCCCTGGCACGGCCCAGGTCCTGCATCCCCCTGAAGTGCAGGGCCCCCCAAAGCACAGGGCCCTGGGCAACCAACCCAAACCATCCAAAGACAGGATGGCTCTGGCTCTCTCCAGCCAAGTCTCAGTTCCCTCTCCTGAGCACAGTACTGTGTAGAACAAATGACAGGAATCTCAACGAGCACGAAAAGCAGGAGAAAAGGGACAGGGAAGGTTCGATGTCCCCGAGACAATCCCTCTCTTAGTGAGAACCCTCTTGGTCTCACCTTCTCTTGCAGAGATGCAAACTGATGCTCTTCCGCTGCGCAGTGTTTCTCAGGTGGGCTCATTTGAAGACGCTGTTCCGCAGCATGGCCTGGGATGGCTCCTCACAGCTCCTGAAGTGTGTCTGGAAGTGCTTGGTAGGTGAATTCCTTGTGCCTTGAGAGTTGTGAATGGTGACTTGAAGGAGACCTTTCTAACCCCACACCCTGAGTACCCATCTGCTTCGGTCGAGTGGCAGGACTCTATTCCAGGCTCTCTGCTGGTTCATTTCTGCATGAATTACAATCCCTTCACATTTTTGAAATTTTTCTTCACAACTGTCAGACCTCCAAACCTTCTGTCTTTTAAAATGAAAGCTGAGGTTCTGGAGAACACAATAGTAACTCCAGAGAGGTGCTGCTATGGTGTATGGGCTCATACTGGCTGTTGCTTTGCCCTGGCTGTGTGCTTTGGCTTTCCTGGCCTCTTCGCTGTGGGAAGAACACGTCATTTGTATATTGTGCATTTCTTCCTTCTTTCCTCCTAGATGCAGAACAACGAGAGCCACATCCCCAAATTCCTGTTCCAGTCCTTAGAGTACCAGGAAAGCTCACAGACAACAATAAGACATTCTGCAGGCCTGTTCACTGGTAAGCAGAGCAAATTCACTTGATCTTTTTTGAACTGCTTCCTTCAAAGCCCTTTTCTAGACTTCTGGTGTGTGTGTGATTGAGAGAGAGACAGAATTAACATGTATTCCAAGATGAAGGGAGCAATTTAGCTGTATTGACCGCACCAACTTCCCCTACCCACAACAACTCTTTGGCTGCGCCTAGTGGAAACCAGCATGATGTGAATTCAGTCTCCTTTGGAAATCAGCCAATCAGTAAATTCTAGGCTTCTGATCCTTTTATGTGCTTTGTGAGCAGATGTAAGGAATATATTTAATTTCCCAACGGCTGTTTTGGGGGAATGGCTGCACCTTTAGCAGTTTTCAGCGAAGGATTTGAAAAGTAATGAGATCCATTGTATGTCTAGGAAATACTATCCGCCATTACTGCGACTTGTTGTCTGAAACCGTGAATGAAGATGGCATCTCCCGCCTGTATGAAGGTAAGGAAATAGCTCTGTGTGTTTTTGCCTCTGTGGGAAGTACAGGGGTGCAGCACAGGGCCTGAACACAGGTTTGAATGTGTCCCTCTCTGGCTAAGGACAACGTTTAAGGAAGAAGGATGGTCACGCGAGCTTTCATCGAGGTCCCACAATATGTGTATGGGAGCAGGGGATAACCATCCCTAGCTCCTAGGATAGAGGTAGCCTTAGAGCTGTGTGAGGAGACTGTCTTCATAAAGGTCAGAAAGTCTCTAAAGGAAGGCCTGACAGAACTGAAAAGGGCTGTTGTTATTATTAAGCATGATGATGATGATGACAATTACCCTCTGTAGGGAAGATTCATCACCTGCCCTCCCTGTAATGGAGTGATTGCAGGCCAGGGAACCATTCAGAGGTTGTTTATCTGCTCATAGGAAATCCCCTGAGCGCACATGGGAAACATCTTTCCCTGTGACCTCTTAAGGAATGAAGTCACAGGGCCACAAAGGATTTCAGTCTAAATTCCTTTGCGGATCCGTGCATAAATGTTTGATGATTTAACACCTCTGCTGTTGTCACTTTTTTGTTACATCCCAAGAACAATTGCCCCCACCTGCCTGGGTTTTAGTGTGTGGACGTGTGTGTGACCGGGTATATGCTGGGGGAGGGGAAAGTTACACACGAATGGGGTCTCCTCTCTGTCCAGGGCTATTTTAGGAGTAGCAGAGTTGTTGTTTCTGTGCCCCCAGACTCTTGGGTAGCTAATAGCTTGTGGCGATGGCCATCTGAAGGGGAGGTTTCCTAGGCACCAGTCACATCAGCACCATGGGGCTTTCAACCCGTTTCCTCTTTGTTTCAGCTTTTCAGGAAGTGCCTTTGACATTTGACAGGACCACAGGGTGCATCCTCAAGAGACATTACAAATGGCTGCAGAAGCTTGGAAATCTCGTGTCGGGTTCTGCATTCGACTAGGGAACCGGGACCGACACAGAAGACCTCTTTGTCCTGCTATGATAGGTACAACAGACGGTTATCAACTTTTTGGTGTCCCGAGCCTCTGTTTGCCAGAAGCTGGGAATGGGTGACAGGGGATTGATCACTACATGATTACCTGACTGTTCATTCCGTTTGGGGCACCTGGCATTGGCCACTGTCAGAAGACAGGATACTGGGCTAGATGGACCTTTGGTCTGGCCCAGTCTGGCCTTTCTTATGTTCTTATATTTGGAACCGGGACAGAACAACGAGGTGGATATTGGCAGATGACACAAAATTATGTAGGTTAGTCAGGCGTAGAGAAGACTTTGAAGCAGTTGAAAGGGATCTAATGAAGCCATGTGACTGGGCAGCACAATGGCAGATGAAAACCAGTGCTGACAAAGGCAGGGCCATACGCATGGAAAGCAGTGAGGTGAACGATTCCTACATATTGCTGGTGTCGGACACCAAAGCACGGTTGGTTGGGCCCAGTGGTGTGAGCAGTGGCGGTGGGGCCTAGTGGTCAGGGTGGTGGAGGTCGAGCCGAGGGGAGCCAAGGGTTGGAGCCGGAGTCAGGAGTCAAGAGCAGGATTGGAACGGGCTGGGGAGTAGGGCCAGGGCGGGATTAACGATTCCCGGCCAATGGGAGCTGTGGGGGGCGGAGCCTACAGACAAGACCAGCACCCGGGACAGAGGTTCCTGGTGCGGTGGTCGTCGCGGCAACGCGGCTGGGTGGGGGAACGGCAGCGCGCGGAGCTGCCTCGCCCCCACCCCAGCCAGGCAGAGCCGGCCCGGCCGGAACGCAGCACGCAGGAGCTTTAGTGGCTGCAGCACGGACCCCCCCCCTTAGACCTACTCCTTTCATGAGTGCATCACTGCCCCACTTCTGCCCCATCCCCACACACGGTTACAGGGCAGAACCCATAGCTGAGCTCTGAAATCTCTCTGACTGTAATGAAGTTACTGCAGAGTCAGGACAACCCCACCTTTGGGCTCCATGTCTGACATCTCACCCCACTGCACCGAGCCCGACATTCACAGAGCTTCTCGCATGTGATTCCCTCAGTCATCAGAGCCAGGCGGACAGAGGAGAAATTCTCCCCGACTCCCTTCAACCATTGCCAGCCCACCGGGCAGCGGAGCTTGCGGAGGATGGGTGCTGTCTTTAAGCAATGCCAGCTCTCAGGGAAGTTGCAAACGAGCAGTGGGGGGCTGGAGTTTGTGCCGTGGAAAACTACCCTGCTTGAAGGTTTTGTTCTTCTGATTTGTGTTCCTGCCCTTTCTCCCTCCTACAGACATCTAGAGGCTAACAGGAGCCAACTGAGCCCACCGCTGATCACATCTCTTGTGAGACGCCAAAGCAGCTGTTGCATGGGAAGGAGGAGACAGAAGAGGCAGAGCAGGATGTGCCGGGGTGCACCAGCCACACATAACACCATAGTCTAGGCGGAGGAAGCCAAGCCCCTCCCCAGCCCTGCCGGACATGCTACAGCTGGAGCACCAGTGTGAAAGGGAGCAGCTCAGCTCTGTCTAGACAGAGTGCCGAAAATGGAGGATGCACATTGTAGGCTCCAGTCCAGAAGCAGCTGAAGCCCCAGACCGCAGAGCCCCGAGGAGCCGAGACCCAGCCGCATCACCAGGGGCCTGCAGACGTGCAGGGGAGGTCAGAGTCTCTGGGAGATTCCCAGGCTGGGAGCCCAGAGACCCCCAGCCCATGGCCTAGAGACATCTCGTAGGAAGTAACCTTGGTGAACTAGCCATTGTCATGCTGAGTGACGTCAGATGTTCTGGTTGGATCCCCACTGACTCAATGGCAAACACATTGGCCATGGACAAGGCCTTGGGCTAGGACCCGGTGGAGTAACAAGGGCCCAGGTCCCCCTGCCCTGGCCGCCATCCATCCTTGGTGGCAGCCCACCTCCCCAGTGTGCCACTAGACTGCACAGCCCCAAGAGGAGGGGCAGCCATCTTGTCTCTGAACTCTCAGGCAAACAGCCCTGCGCTGAAGGGCAGCGATATTGACTCTAGTCTCTGGGCCACACAGCACTGAGAGAGAGAGCAGCCATATTATCTGGAGCCATCAGGCCACACAGGCATGAGAGACAGGATAGCGGCACAGACTCTGGTCTCTGGGCCACACACCCCAATGGAGAGGGCGGCCACACGGACTCTGGGCCACACGGCCCCGACGGAGAGGGTGGCCGCACGGACTGTGGTCGTTGGGCCACATGGCCCCGACGGAGAGGGCAGCCGCATGGACTCTGGTTGTTAGCCCACACGGCCCTAAGTGGGAGGGCAGCCATTTTGACTCTGGCCATTAGGCCAAACCACCCTGAGGCTAAGGGCAGTTATTTGGTTTCAGCCATGGGACCTTGCCCTGTCACCCCTAAGGCATCGCTCATCTGTCACCATGAGACTGACCCCGTGACATAAGACTTTTGGGATCAAAATGCAAACATGAGCAGAAGCAAGGAGTGGCATGTGAGCCCTCTAAGAGATCCTCCCACTCCTCTAACAATCTGGGGGTGTTTTATCTCCATTGCTCTACCTCAGGAATAGATTTGAACAATGGGGGAAACTTCTGGGGCAGAGTGATCCATCCGGAAGTGGGTCATGTGACCCCTCCGAGAACTCCTCCCAGTTGGGGTGGGCCTCATCCCCTTAGGACCAACCAGAGAGGGGATTTCACCAAATAGGGTTAGTGCTGTGGTGGGGAGACCTGCCCGTGAGAGGGGCCCATCACCCCTCCATGAAATCCCCACACCGTCCTATATAATCGGTCAGGGTTTCACACACACCCCTTAGACCATCCCAGAAGGGAAACGTACCGATCAGAATAGGTAGTGCCCAAAGGCCTAGGCCAGAAGCCGCCGATCTCTGGAGCTCCATGTTTGCGTGGCTGGCAGCATTGCCCTGGAAGTCGCAACACAACGCTGCGTGGAAGAGGCCGTCTCGTTCCAAGGGTGTCTTTTACAGAAATCACGGCCTAGACCTTCGGGCTATACCTGTTCTGATTGGTACATGTTTCCCTTCTGAGATGGCCTAAGGTAGGAGTGAAACCCTCACCAATTGGTAGAGGGGGGGGGGACTTCTTAGAGGGATCACGGGATCCTTTTGCGGGCAGGTCACTCCACTACAGCACTTCCTTGTTTGGTCAAATCCCCTCTCGGGGTGGTCCTACAGGGCTGACACCTACTTCAATTGGTAGAGGACAGAGGGAGGAGTTATCAGAGGAGATATACAACCCCCTTCTGGATGGGTCACCCTGTCCCGGAACATTCCCCGATTGGTCAAATCCAGTCTCCGGGTGTGTAAAATGCTGGTTGCCCCTGCCAAATTTTAGTAAAAGAAGGGATGAAAGGCATGGACCTTTTGGGTTATCTATAAAGTGGCCATCTTGGACTTCGGAAAAAATGTTGTGACCTTTTGCCATTTGCTTTATTATTTTGGGTTGGGAAGCACACTCCCACGCACGGATTGAATCCGCGTAGATAGGGTCTAACGTCCAGGCAGAGACGACGCAAAGAGGGATAGGGAGGGTTTTTAGTTAGGTTTATACTCGCCCGTTCCTGTGTCCAGCATACAAGCCCATCCCTAACGTCCAATGTCAAGAGAGCAGCATCCGTCCATCGCTTTCACTGCAAGAGAAAGTAGAGAGAACATCAACATTACCTCATGGGTGTAATTGTTTGTAAGAGTGGAGCAGTTCCAGAGTTAAAGTTTTGTTAATCTGCCTCTTCTCTATCCTATCCTAGCCCTTTTCCCCGTAGTAAATGATGTCTTGTTTGTCTGGTTACCACTGCGTGGCCTTATTTTCTTGTGCTAAGGCAAGCTCTGATAGACGAGCTTTACAAAGGGGACCATGTGGGAAGAATTTACTGTAAGATTTCCCGCATCTTCTGAATGGGGTTTGGTTTCTGCCCTCTTTAAAGGAAGGAAAAATCCTTACAGGTGATCCTACGGGGCTGAAACCACTGTGATTACTTAGTAATCTGTCCTATTCACCAGGATGTTTGTGACCCTGTGTATCATAGGGAAGTAGCCCATGGGCATTATGAATCTTTTGATTTAAAATAGACACTTGTGGTGTACAGACGAAGAAGGACAACTTTTCAAATCCGACGTGCACAGAGATTGTATGGACACTGAACGTATTGAGTGCAATACTTTTATCTTTAATCTGTACATTAAACAAAGACAAAGGAGCAGGGTTGGGAGGCTGGGCACTGACTTCCCCAGGACCATTCCT